TGGCTTTTTCTACCCTTCCAAAACATGTATATATGTGAGGCTGTCAATTTTAGCTGCATTAATTATTAAAAGGAGAAAAGCAAGAGGTGATAGCTATTATGCATTATTTAATGCAAGATAAGACTGCATAATCTTTTGCACATGGACCAGTGTGTGCAGGTTAGGTAGGAAGGCAAAGCAAACAGCAAACCTCCTACAATGTTACAGATTAGTACCTTCCCCCCATTTTAATATGGGGCTGGAAAGAAGCTTCTCAAAAGACTGTGACTGCATTATGTTAGGAAAAAGGTATGCCTGGTTCTATTTCATCCTTTTCATGCTCTGGTGCAAAAACAAGACAAACCGCCATTTCTTTTATGCTAAATTCCTCAGGTTTTTTTAATGGCATATATATTTATTAAAAATGCCTCTTTGATAGGTGGCATTCATGACATTTCCGCATCCAGGAGTGCCTCAGAAGCCCCCTCCCTGCACACAAGGCCACCACAGCTGACAGCCAACTGGGTTTGATCACAGCCACTTGGAATCGGATTTTCATAAAACAGACGAGGAGCCTAACCGCTGCTTTCTTTCTCACTCCTATCAGATGAGAAACTGGTGGGGGGAGCAGGTCCTGAGGGAAAAACACTACAATCAAGGGCTATGTGGTTCTGTTGCTGTCCCTCTACAGCTGCAATTTTCAAAGGAGCATGCCTCAGGCACTTTCAAATGATGGTGTCTCAATTCTGTAATCATATTTCAAGAGCTTTTTCTTAAAGGGTCTTTTAGGTAAACCTAGTCCGTCAACTACATTTATGGACTCAACAATCACAGCTGCGATATAATGGTAGTTTTAGTGTTTCCCAGGATTCTGTCAGGAAAGCAGTGCATGTGGCACAACTTAGCAAGCTTTTTTCTAAACCTGTGCTTACCTCTGCTCAGCATCCGTGCCCTAATTATATGCCTAACTACTTTAAACATCCTTCATAGTCACAAAATGCCTTTATAAAGAAAATTATTTTGGAAGACCAATAGGCCTAAGCATCATGTCATTCTGCCTTATGATTCTAAGGTATATTTCTGGAAAATATGAAGGAACTATGCAAGAACAATGCACATGGGTAAAATGAAGATGAGAAGCAAGCAAGTAACAAAAAGGAAAAAAGATGGTTATGCACATCTCTCAGTATAAACAGCTATCAAATCAAATACAAAAATTTAACAATAATGGCATTTTCCTACTCCTGATTTAGTTGACTCAGTTTTCCAAGTTTAGGTCCTTCCATTGCTACACTGGGAGCACCCAGTGACGCAGAAGGTTAAACTGCTGAGCTGCTGAACTTGCTGACTGAAAGGTCGCCGGTTCGAATCCGGAGAGCAGCGTGAGCTCCCACTGTTAGGCCCAGCTTCTGCCAACCTAGCAGTTCGAAAACATGAAAATGTGAGTAGATCAATAAATACAGCTCCAGCATGAAGATAACGGTGTTCTATGCGGTCATGCCGGCCACATGATCTTGGAGGCGTCTACGGACAACACCGGCTCTTCAGCTTAGGAATTGAAAGGAGCACCCACCCACCCCCCGCCAGAGTCTGACATGACTAGACTTAATGTCAAGGGGAAACCTTTACCTTAATTTATTGCTACACTGACCCCATACATGTGGAAGAAAAATTCTTAATAATCTTGCAGAAAATGGTTTGCAAAAGTATTTTTTCCTGATATGAAAATACTTGCAATTGCTAAATGAGGGTTGGGCATGGTGACTTCCATAATTTCTATGCTGGCTGCAGGGCTGAATGGACTGCAGTGCAGCACACCTGAATGACACATGTTGTGTGCTTTTAAAATGGTCCATACAGTACTGGAGGATAGTGCTGCCTACTGAGTAGAACACCGAATAGGACACTTCTATTGAATAATGATCGCAGGGGGAACAGGGCTCCCTGCACCACAATACATGACATGTGAATTGGTGTCAGCCTGGGCTCCATATATTGCGCTGTTTTGAGTCATGGTCCCAATTTCTTCTGTAGAAGTTATTGATTGCTATTAACAATGTGGCTGTCCTGGAAAGCACAATTTCAGATATAGTACCTGAGTGTTTCAAGTTGCTGAAGCCAGGCAACTTTCAAACCCTAACTTCATTTCTGTGAAGAACCTGAGAGCTGAAGGGTATCACTAATAGAAAGGGAAAAGCAGGAAGGGGGAGCCCAAAGTAGGAAAAGACTGTTTCTATTGATGACTGACCTTGCACAGCACCACCCAAGACTACACCCAAGACTACACCAGGTGTAGAAACTCCAGAAAGCAGAAGCAAAATATTAAGGCTAATCCACAATGAGGAGTCAAGGACCACCCCTTTCCAAGCCCTTGTTTTAAATTGTTACTTAAAAGACAGTCTGGCCTTCAAAGCAGCACCTTGCTCTGTGGAGGAGACTCTCAATAGATAGCACTTTTCCAATTCCCCTCACTGCCTGGCATCTCCCGTCACATCCAGCTCCATTACTGTACTGAACTCCGCCACTTCTGCCCATTTTCCCTGTTGACATGGATAGAAAATTGAGCAATTACCCTTAAATGCCTCTCTCTCAGATCACCCAGATTGCTACATACACAATATTAAGCCCTCAATTGCCCCTGGCCAAAAGTGGTTCAACCAGGCCTGTCCTTTAGGAATTAAACAATTTTTCTTGCTTGCAAGAGTTTATTATTCCTATGGTTGTCACTATATTAAATCCTATTAAAGTAGGCTTCTCTTGGTGCACTTAGCCAGAGACCTTGCTTTGAGTTTTGGAGCATGATAGATACAAGGCAAAGGTATGCTGAGGTATGCTGCTTCTTGAGCCAACATATATTGTTTAGGTGTGTGTGCACACAGATGTGCCAAAGAAGGAATGAATGGGAAATATGGTTTGTCTTCACTGTGTCATGATTGCAGAATTTCTTTAATGAATCTGATATCTACACTGCAATTATTATTTCTAAAGATGATGGGTTTCTTAAAAGAATTACACTTCTCATGACTGTGAAATTGCAATATAGAAATAATTTTATTTTAAATAAAGTAAGTCCCTCAATGATTGCGGCTTTGTCACTATGGCAGCTGCTACTGCTGTCTCCTGCAAACCTTGGTTCAGTATGATAGAGGTAAGACCCGCTAAAGGAGAGTGAGATGAAAAGCCTTTCCATAATTTTTCGATGTCCAACTGAAAAGACTACTATGTTCAGTGAAAGTAGGTTTTTCCTGCCCAAAATTCTTATTATTACCCATATTTTTTCTGGTATCCTTTCATCATCATCATCATCATCATCACCACCACCACCATCACTACACTCTTCAAAAACACAAGCTTAAGGTCCAGAATACAACATATAACATCAGTCTATTTTTGTCCCTATGAACAATCTTACACTGTGTTGCTGTATTACAGAATCTGACCTGAATACTGAATGTAAGGCAGTTTGGGTGCACTAATTTTATTACTACATAAATGTAAAATACTGGTTACAGGCTAAATCCTGCAGATCGGAAGGTCAGCAGTTTGAGTCAGGGTCGGGGTGAGCACCCGCTGTTAGCCCCAGCTCACCTGCTCACCTAGCAGGTCAACAGCAGAAATATGAGTAGTTGAAATAGGTACCGCTTTTAGCAGGGAGGTAATAAAGGCTGAGGAAAGTTCCTCAGCATGGAAGATGGAGCGACAGCATCTCCCGTGGCCAGAGTCAAGCACAGCCACCAAGACGGCAGGAATAAGATGGGGAAAACTGCCTTTACCTCTGTTTGTGTTGTGTGTCCTTTGTGTTGTGTGTCCTTGTTAATTGTACCAGCATTGAATGTTTACCATATATGTGTTCTGTAAAGCTGATCTGAGTCCTCTTTGGGGTGAGAAGGGCGGGGTATAAATAATGTAAATAAAAAAAACCTATATTTTATATAGCTGATGAAAAAGTAGTTATATGCTATACTTTGCAAATAGAAAAAAAGATCCAGCTCCAGCAAAAGTCTCAAGCCTCAGTGAGAGGTACAAGCCCAAATTTTCTGCTCTATTTACTGCATATGTGGTACTTTCATTCTGTCACTGATATGAACTGCTTTTTCCATGTTTCAAGTATAAATTTTCCCTCTTGGAGTCTTAACTCAGTGAGATCTCATTTTAACCAGCTCTTCCATTATTCCATTATGTTTATATGCAAGTTTTAACTTAGCTTTTTGATTTGCAATGTGGTTATAATTTTGTGGCACTCAATTCAGCAGGTTAGTCTTGCACAAGGGCAGAACTCTAGTCATTTCAAGTTAAATTTTGCACCTACTGGCAGAAGGCACATCCTTGTCTGCCAGGTTTCCTACTGGTCTAGTTAATATTACTATAGGCCAGTGCCTAGAGTACTTTTCCACTTGTTTCTATTGGCTGATAAAACTATTTCTAGGTGCTGGATGCTCACATCAACAGAAATCCAGTCAGGAAATGATGGAAAATCACAGCTGCCAGCAGAAGGAGCAGCAGGACAATCCAAGCCTCTACATTCTCATCCAGTGGAGACAGGCATGGCACCAAATGGGATGGGCTTAGCTTTTACAGAGGCAGCTTTGTAAGACCTTTTAAATAGTTCTCAGGAATGTGAAAGTACTTAATGGAGAACCTGTGAGAATGGAAAAACTGAAATGTGTTAGATGTGTTTGCCTTGAGGAGACAAATGATGTTTGAACAGATAACAGAGTAGAAGAAAACAGAAACGATCCACATTCTCCAATTTGTTATGACCGATTTCACCTCCTTTACTACCAAGTCTAAATCCTACATATAATGCTTCCTCTTGTCTTCTCCCAGTTCTGAGATCTCCCTCAGTTCTGAAATACAGAAATTTTCATCACTGCTGCTTTCACTTTTAGATAGTTTATCTCACAAGTATCCTGAATTCATCTGCTGCCTTCCTTGAAGACATTTCCATTCACCTTAGCTGGAAAGTCCTGAGAAATGGGAATGTTTGGACCTAAATTTCAGCTAAAAGGGGATGGTATTACCTCCTCCATCATCTGCTGCATCTGAGCTCTGCTGCCTCAGACGGTGGCTGGAAGAAACCACAAAAATAAGACCATTTTAGAAGGGAAATTATAAAACAACTTTTTCCAAGGCCTTCCTCTGAAGAAAGCAAAAGTACACAATGAACCACATCCTTCCACTATCCTGTGAATTATTGGGGAAATGAATGTTGGTACTCTGTATTCTTTTGCAAACATATCGCTATTGGCATCTTACAAGGATAATGATATACCAGAAGAGACTGTATAACTATTGGCATTATACTCTGAGAGATGGCTTGGGAGAGAACCTTTCTGCTGTGCCAACTATGAAATTCCCTCTCTTGAGTGGCCCAACTGGAACCAAATGTTGTTGTCATTGTTGTACCAAATAAGAACATGGCTTTTTGCTAGAGTCCTTGGAGACGAAAAGATACCAATCCAAATCTGCATATAGTTTAAAACTGTTTTACTATTTTAACCAGATTCAGATTCATTTTAAAATTTCAGATTCACATTGTTTAATATTTTTAGTATATTTAAACTCTTTCTCTTTTCTGTTTCATTTATTCTAGTGATTTCATAAGTGCACCACCCTGAAATCCCATGATGGGGGGTTGGAATTTTAAATAAATAATCATGGATTTGCTCAGCTGCTCAAGCCAAAAAGTGCCTGAAAAAATGTCAACAGTTGTGCAGAAATATATGGTAAATCAATAGTCAAGCAATAAACTTACTCTTCCACATCTTGTTCTGCAGGCTTCTTTTTTGACCTGAAAGACAAGACAAGAAAAGGCCAATATTGAAAAAGGGCAGAATTTATTCCAAAGAATGAGCCTCGGATCTAGAGCAAAGCTTTCCAAACTGTCGGGATACACTAGTGTGTCGCTTGTAGTCCCTAGGTATGTTACATGAAAAATGATCCCCCCGTCGCTCCCACAAACAAAGACTGGTGCTGTTCAAGTGTAGGTATTGTTGTAACTTTTATAATTTGCACAATTTGTTGATTGAGTTGAAATAATTTCCAACTAAAATGAGTACGTTTCTAATTAAGAAAAGAAAATCTGTCGACAATGATGTTTGCAATAAACCACATGGAGTAGCTATAGAAGAAACAACACAAGAATCAACTGTAGTACATAAGTGTAAAATAAAAAGTTCCAAATCTCTTTTATACAGTAAATGAAACTTGTATATGTTATACATTATTTAATGCATATATTATGTAGTATAAACCTTTATAAGGAGTTGGTTTAACTTCCGTTTTGTCAGTAAAACTGAATTACTGTGTTGTATAAGGATGAAGGTCTAAAAAGTATCCCCAACATGAAATGTTTGGAAAGTTCTGAACTAGAGCTTGAAAGAAGTACTTCATGGTAACTCCTGGACTCCTCTACAGACTTGGAAAAGTAACTGCTTGTAAATGTCTTGCATTAGGGTATTTTAGAAGAAAATAAAATAAAGGAGACATTATCTTTTCAAAACTCTTGTGAAACATCCTGCACAATTCCCCATTAGCATGATGCATGAGCTGCACACATACATGGAGTACAAAAAATTCACCACAAGAGAGATGCAAAGTTCTTGCACTGCAAATGATAGAGGAAAATAAAGAGAGGGCATTTGTGTGTCTACTGTTGCTACAATCTTGTAACATGTGAATCCACTCTCAGTCATAACTAATGCCTAGGATTATCATACATCATCCTCTCCCCAAACAAGTCCTATTTTTCAAAGCCAAACATTCTGTTTTTCAAAACATTCTGACTGGTTTTTTTTATACATTCTCCCATCCCTGAAACTCAGAAGCAAGCAACAGTGAGTCCAGTTATTTAAAGAATATCCTATAAATAGGGGTGGCCACGAATAATTTAATGCCATCACACTGTGGCAATGGGACTCATGGATATAGTAAGGAGCGGGATAGGAGATGAAATGACAGTGGGCCTGACAAAAGAGGAACTCCTATGTGGCATTGAGTGACTGTGGGCTTCTTGCTTCTTCAGAATAGAGGATGTTTATTTTCCCTATTTCTTTCCCTTTCTAAAGTCCCTTTGTCCATTGTCCCTTTTGCCATTTAATGTTCTTTTTTTCTTTTCTTTTTTGGTCCCCTTCAGGGTTTTCTCTTTTGCTGCCCTATATCACAGAGATGTTGAAAAACCTGTAGTGCTGGAGCAGTGGATAGGCAGAGACCAGGCATAACCCTCTAATCCCAGATTTTACTGAAAAAACTAGATTGATGGTTGGTATTATGAAATATCACTAAACAAGCAATTAATAACATTTGTAAATCAAATTTGTAAATCAAATTAAGTTAGAAATATTTCTATTTCTATTGAACAGCACTTCTACTTATGGAGAAGAGCTATTCAAAGTGAGCGTCATCATAGCAATTGGTTGTTTTAAGTAGTCAACGAACGCATGTATGTTCTCATTTTGGCCTTGCAAAATATAGTAGCCCTACCAATCCCAGACTTTGGCATGGAACAAATGATTAATTGTGATCACTAAGCAAAAGATCCTTCTAACTTAGTTTTCTCTCATACATACATACATACATACATACATACACACACACACACACACACATATGTGTGTGTGTGTGTGTGAGAGAGAGAGAGAGAGAGAGAGAGAGAAAACTAAGTTAGAAGGATCTATTGTTTAGTGATCACAATTAATCATTTGTTTCATGCTAAAGTCTGGGATTGGTAGGGCTACTATATTTTGCAAAGCCAAAATGAGAACACACACACACATATATCACATAATGTAACTCAAAATAACATTGCCTGCCATGAGCAGTTTCAAATTCTATTGACTAGCAGATAGAAAATCAAATGAAATGCTGGAAAGAACTGTGAGCCAAAAACGTTTTCATTTTGGTTCTCTGAAAGATCCTTTGGGCATGTTATTGCCTGTCAAGACACCCCAGAACACTCACTCAAAACATCAGTAACGTGCAAATAAAACATATTTTGCTTTTAGAGGAAAATCGTGCCAAGCTGGTGGCAGGTACTAATGGTTGCACTGCTTTCTTTAGTCATAAAAACAGAATTCAATGTTTTAACCTAGCTTCCTCATACAACACTGGAAGAGATTGGGCCAGAAGCCCTAAGGATCAGGGGAAATCTGCTTGGGTTACCAGAAGTTCATCATTAAAAAAGGGGGGGGGGGAGGGTGAAGGAAGAAGAAGGTGGCAATGGCAGGCAGCTCTTTTACTCGTTCTCCACCCCAGCAAGCCCAGAACTAATTCAGATCCGATTAGGGATGCTTGTTCAATATTCAAAATGTAAAACATGGAGGTTGCTGAACCAGCACTTTGAAAAGTTAATTAAATGCCAGGTTTCTTTTTAACAGATACTCCATCACTTGCTGATTGCTTTGACTATTTCAGAGAATGAAGTTTTTTAACTTGGTGCACTGGGAAATACTCTTTGCTCATTCCCTCGAGTGGGAGCACAGCATGATAAGGAACATAAGAAGACTGGCTTCTAACACCACATGTCTTGCCTTCACAGAAGGGCTGCCACCAATAATAATAATAATAAAACAGAGATTGTATCCATTTCATCAAGAGCTTATGAATCCCCCCAGCTTTTATAAAAAGAGATGGCATCTCCAAGAGCCACTATAACATCTGAGCTGCTGCTTTTCCTTGTTAAACTGACAGTGTGCAAAGCACTTTCTTTTGACACACCTTATTAGTTTTAACATGCTGCCAAGTTTGCTAAACCTAGATAATACTGCATATTATCATAGAAAGGATTGTGAATAGCTAGAGAGAGAGAGAGAGAGAGAGAGAGAGAGAGAGAGATAGAAAATAGCAGTGTCAATATAATGCAAATCCATGATGTTACCACATCTAGAGTACTATGTACAATTCTGCACCTTTAAAAAAGGAGGACATTGTAGAACCAAAAAAGACATCGAAATGGGTAAGGAAAAGGACTAGAGAGCTAAAGCAAAATGGTACAATATGTAGCCCAACATAAAAACATAAACTTACTTCAAACACGATGATGTTTTGGTGATTTTTTTGGTAACTTGATTGTGAGTTTTTTCAGCATAAAATTTGTAGATGACAATGGAATGTAATAGAGTAACCAGAGTATGTTATATTCACAAATACTGAAGTATTATCCATTCACATTATAATCATGTAAAAAGTTCAGCCAGAAAACTTTCTCTACAATTTTAAAAGACCCTACAAATGAGGCAGAATTGTGGAGAGAAAATGTGAGATAACAACAACAACAACTATACAAAGACTTTTTTGGATTATCTGTGGTGGTGGATGCCACAAAAATTATGCCAGCCCTCCCTTCCCTATGTTTTGCTCATCAGTTATCATTAATGTTGCTGTATTAATCCTTCTTCTTCCAGTGTGGCCCAGGGAAGCCAAAAGGTTGGACACCCCTGTCATACAGAACAACGTAGATCTGGATCTTCTACAGAAACTGAGTAGTAGTACACTCAATAAAAAATAGAAACATTATCACCAAACATTATCACCAAGGGCAGGATTTAACTTTGGTAAAATTATAAAAAAAATTGTTAACCTCAACTAGTGATGACCATCATGGTGGGCAGAAGTACAAAGGATCAAATAGTTAATGAAGGATAAAGCAATCACTAATCACTATGTAGATGACACCCAATTCCTTACCACCTCAATCCAAGGAAGTTGTTTTTGTTCCAAACTCGGACCTGTCATCAGGAATGGACTGGGTGAAGTCAAACAAATTGAAACTTAATCCAGACAAGAATCTTCCAAAGGCAGATTCAGCCTGAAGTTTCAGGTTGGCAGCTCCTGGACTCAATCCTGAGCCTGGAAGCTTAGATCTTAGCAGTGGGGAAAAGTGCATTTGTGCAGTTAATGTCATGCACCAGCTGCACCCATTCATTGAGATATCATATCTTGCATGCCTTAGTTACCTACTTTTTGGATTACTGTTAATATGTTCTATGTGGAGCTTTCTTTGAAGAATGTTCAAAACTTTTAGTTGGCCAAAAGAACTGCAACCAGATAGAATTCAAAGATCTGGTGATGACCTATAAAGTGCTATACAGTTCAGGTCCAGGGTATTTGGAAGAACGTACTCTCCTGTATGATGCTGTACATATTTTAAAATCTTCCAGGATGGTCTTTCTCTTTGTCCCAACATTCTCATGGGTGCCATCTGATGTGAAGAAAGGAGAGGACCTTCTTGGTGGCTGTTCCTAGGAGCTAGAATTCCCTTTCCAGAGAGCCTAGCCTAGCACTGTCTTTAATATTTTTCCACAAAAAGGTAAAAAGATTTATTTTAATGGGCCTCTGAGAACTGATTTTTCAGAGAAAATAGCCCTTTATAATGTGCTGGAACTTTAACCTAGTCTTGTAATTTGATTTAACTGATTTCAATTTTATGACGGTTTAATTGCTTTTTTATTCCAAGGTGCTTAACAACAGCAGCAGCAGCAACAACAACAACCTCCTCTAGTATTGGGGTAGTAAAACAAACATAAACAAGAGGACATTGGACTCATGTCTTGCTCATAGATTTGTTCAATATCTGAAAAGAATACTGGATACATTCTACTAATATTCTTATGATATTATAAAAATGAGGAAACTGGACAGGGTGTTGAAGAAATATTGATTTAATACTGGCCATTACTTGTTTTGTAAGACCCAGAATGCCTATTTTAACTGGATTGACAGGCCAAATGTGCCATTATTAGCATTAATATGGTTCCAAACCATATTATCTTTTTTCTCTCTCACCAAGTACAT